CCCCAAAACCCCAAAACCCCAAAACCCCAAAACCCCAAAACCCCAGGTAAGACTTATTTAATTGAATTATGAGATAGGTTTCATAATTATACTTTTCCGATCTTGGTTGCTAGTTTTGTATTGCCTTTATTTTCTCTAAATTTTGGATTTCCTGCTGCTCTTTGGCCTGGCTTAACTTGATTCTTTGCTTTTTGGTCTTCTTGAGCCTTCTTACTAGTAGCGATTGCCTTAATAATATTTTGAAGCATTTGTTTTTGTTGGTCAGTTAGTGAAGTAGCAATATAACCCTTTGCTAAATTCACATCACCCTTGACTATCATGCTATAAAGTCCTTCTCCAACAGAATTTATGATTGTAAGCACAGGCTTCGTTCTATGGATCTGATTTTCTTGTACTCCAACTACAATTCCTAAGAACATTTTTACAATTGTATCAATTATAACTTCTTTCTGTTCACTAGTAGAGTTAAGATATATATTAGTAATGAACTTGATATCCTCAGAAATTGCCTGAGTTTGACTTTGGTCCTCACCTTCCAATACAACTGGGCTAGCAAAGACTCTTTTTACATTGGTAAATAGATATGCAAGGCTCTCTTCAAAGCAGAACTTGCTAAATCTTGCTACTCTCTCCATCATATCAGGATCCTTGGATCCTGCTGAGAATAATCCATTGAGTCCTTTTAGAGCAATTTGTGTGAAATTAACTATCTGGGATGAACTTTCGCTGTCTTTCTCAATATCAAAAAGAGTTCCCATATAAAAGACAAATCCATCCTTTATTTCTTCCATTGGAATACTGCTAATTGAATTCGCCACGGTCTTATTGAGCAGCTGGATCAAGTACGGAATGGTAGTCTTCAGCTTCTCCATTGTAGCAGGGTCGAGAGCCTCTCCTTTGACTGAACTAAAGTTTTCAGAATTGCTCTCTGAGTCATCCTCACTACTCTCCTTTGCTTTCTCGCTTGTGCTACCTCAGGAGTTACAAACCTTTATTGTGGAGATAAGCCTGATTATAAACCTGTTGATGTTCTCAGCAAGCACTTCAGGATTTATCTTGAACACCTCATCTATTAGCACCAAGTGGTTTATGTAAGACTTTAAGCTAAGAGGCATCTTCAGAGCTGTTCTATGAATAGTACTCTCAAAACTATCCTTTATACACTCAGAGACGTCTTTAGAAAATGCTGTCAAATGGCCTTTATCTTGAGAATATTCCTTCAACTTTATATAAGTTGTTAATACACTTTTGCACAAATCATATGTGTTTTTCAGCAAGTTCAATTTCATAGCCTTTGACTTTTCATCATCCTTTGAGTTAAGATACCTAGCCTCGAGGCCTTCATAATTCTTGTCAAGTATCTTCTTTCTTAAATCTCCGAGGTTCATGTCTTGGTATACATAACTTTGAGTTTGGCTCATAATTTTTAACCCAAGCTTTTCAATGACTTGTATTATAAGGAGTTCTTTCTCACATAATTTTGTATCACTCAGGTCATCGTCACTCTCTGAGACAAGAATGCTTCTCTGACTAGATACCTGCTTAGCCTGATAAATCCTTTCCAGAATGATCAAGCACACTCGTACTATGCTATAGTTTATCTCTGCAACTGAGATGAACGACAGCTTATCAAAAATGGTGAGTATCTCACGTAGACATTCAAAATCTACTGTAATTCTCTTGAACAGCTTCTCCATTAGCTCCATTCAGAACAACCTGATCTTGATGTGATTGTATAAAGAGTGTGAAACACTAGTCTGACTATTCTTCTTACTATTCTCCTCGTCAATCTCGATCTCACTGACCAAATAGAACTGAATCAAAGCTAGAAGCATTTCATGATCTTTACATTGGTCATATTTTTCGAAAATATCCCTGAAATTGATATCGTCTCTTCCTCCTGTGAGTATGCTCTCCTTAAGAGATATTTTGGAATCAACAAGGTAGCACAAACATTTCATGAAGTATTGCACAGTCCTCTCAATAGTGCTTAGACTGTAAGCAGATCTCATTCCACAAGTAATGAAGATAAATCTCTTATAGTTCTTAACAATAGATCTGGGCATCGCTAACACAATATAAGAGTCATAAATTGCTGCCAGAAGCTGCTTTTTGAGCAGCCCTTCAATCTCTCTATAGTTATTTAAACTGAAAAATTACTTAAAACGGTCTCCAAATATTCTCTCTTTCATTTCCTTCGGGCTATCTCCTTTCTTCTTTAAAGTCTTCTTAGCATTACTTATGTTTTGAAGATCCTTCTCTTCATTCATGTTCTTTGGGTTTATACAAATGCTATAGAACTTGGAGATATCTTCATCTTCTTTAGACAACAAATAGAGCTTACAGAGAAGCTCAAGCTTCTCGAAGTGAGCCTCACTGACAATTCTGTCATAAGATGCAGATTCTTCTTTCAAAAGACTGATATTGTCTAAATCTGAAGTGATCAATGCCAATATTCTTCCAATAAGTTCTGAGTCTCTTGAAATAGGCACTGTGATGAAGTAGTACAGCAAATCGTATGTCTTTATTTTTATCTCTGGTGGGCAGTCTTTCTTTAAGTTTTGCCGGATTATGGAGCTGATCTGAGCTTCATACTGCTCGATGATTAATTCCATCTCTTCCTCCATTTGAGCAATAGTTTCAGCGTCCTCTTGATCAACTGCTTCTTGAGTATACTGAAACTTCTTTACTAATTCAATGATCAGAGTGAGGCCGACTTTCTTTAAGTTAACGTCTTCTGCATTGGCTGCGCCGAATGCGATATTAATTAACTTAGAAATATGCCTAGAGATATCAGTCTTTGAATGCCCATCAGTAGTTGCATAATGAGTCACAAAGGAAGTAAGGCTTTGTATCAGGAACATCTTAGTTTCGTTCTTAAGATCCTTGCTCAGCCTATAATCAAGTGGGCCTGCATTAGTCATCTGAGAGATATCCTTTTTACCAGGATTCTCCATTTCTCTCTCCTTCTCTTCCTCAAGTCTCTGAGTCTCATGCTCAACATGTGTGAGGAAGTTCACGTGTTTGTAGGAGTTAAAGAACTTACAGAACTTTATCCAAAGGTCGAGCTTATAATGGGCACTGATCTTTAATGCGTAAATAAACACTATTTCAAGTGAATACTCATAATACTCCCTCCTATACTGATCGTAATTGGCCATTCCAGAACAAAATGCATCCAATGAGTTATGATTGAAGTTTATAATCCTCTCAAATTCAGAGTGGTGAGTCATATGCTCATAAGAAGGAACCTGAGAGATACGCTTCCTTAATTTTTCATAATTGAAAGGCTTTACCATAGATTTGGTAGAGTTTAGCTCATTGAACAAGAAGCAGTAGAAATCTTCATCAAAATTCCTTCCTTTCTTGAGCTTTTCTAACATTTCAATGTCTCCAGAATTGAGTAGAACAGCTATGATCTCAATACAAATTTGTTTAATGTAAATATCAGATGATTCTTCTATTAGACGGATGGCTAGCTCAGCAATTTTATAAATCTCATTCTCTATATCAAGGCAAATGATGAGTTGAAAAGTTAAATTTCTTACCTGACAGAGGGAGAAGTCCTATTTCATAATCCCCATCTTTCTTCATCTTGTCTTGAAGAATCATCACTGTTTTTGCCATTTTAAGTCAACTCTCGATTAAAGTATTAGAAGCATCTTTTGAAAAGGCCTGAGTCAAGAAATGGTTAATAAACTCTTTGAATACAATTATGACCTTTGACTTTGCGTCAGTGGTGACTTGGAAGTACCGCAAAATTCTTTCTGTGAACTTTCACATCGAATTTAGAGACTTAGAGTTGGTAATAATGTCCATCTGCATCAGGTAGAAACATGTAGGGTAGGTGTTCCTTAAAATCTCCTCGTTCTCACAGGTGCTTAAATAATCTTTAAGCTTTGAGTTAGTATCTCTTCCCTTCAAAATTGTCTTTCATGCCTCCAATAGCGCCTCGCTCAAAGCTGGATTCTCTCATAGATCGTTATATCTCAAAAGGTTGCCTAGGACCATTTCATTTCTTTGAGCATTCTTGGTTCCTTCTACACCGTCACTCTTTTACTTACCTTTCTTGGATGCTACTTCTGAAGCCTTTCTTTCTATATCTCCCTTCACAATATTGACTATGCTCATAATATATTCAGCGCCAGTAACTTGCGTGTAAAGCAGAGCTAGTCCTTCAGCTCAGATCTTGCTCACCGTATCATTTTCAACTTCCATTCAGACCGTGAAAATACTTTCTAAGTTACCAAAGACGGCTTGGTCAATTTCTTTGACCTTCTTCTTGACCAGTCCAAGGCTGATCATATATGCAGCACTGGAGATCGAGCAAAGTTTAGCAATCTTTCGCTCCTTGGAAATTGGATCTTTCTGTTTACTCTTTTTCGATTTTGATTCCTTAAGTATACTTTCCTGTACACGCTTCGCATGGAGGAGAAGGTGGTTGCTGAGCTGGATCTTATTTTTGTCATTTAGTTGAGACGAGATGAAGATGTCTGAGAAGGTCTGAATAGCAGTCTCTCTGATGGATATCCTAACATCTAGCTCTGAGCAGCTGGTATTCATACGATCATGGTCTACAATAAGCCATGGAGAGTGTCTTAAGGTTAGATCGAGAAGTTCTCCAGAGAGAGCTGAAGAAGATTCAAAGTAAATATCATCGCTTAGATAACTATCAGGTACACCTTCCATATGCAAATACACATTGTCATGCAACTGATCTTCCTTTCACAATGTCTTTATCGCAACTGATGGGATGCTCTTGGTAATTGTCTCATTCACAATATCATCAGTGACAGAATGAAGAATATGGACAAATTTATATGAATACAATGAAGGATGTAAATTTGATAAACATTCATAAATATCACTTCTAACTTTCAAAAAGTCTTCATGGAATGTCTTGCTGAACAATTTGACTATCTCCTTTTTGTCCTGATTAATAAAGAAAGTAATCGCGTTGACCACAAATCCAGCTGTCAATTTAATCAATTGGGAATTCAAAAGAGGGTAGCACTTATTCAAGAAGCATTTGATAGTGGATAATGCTTGTTTATTTAATTTTAAACTCTGTTAAGATCTTTTCAATATACATGACATCCTTATTTTTGATTTTCTGGACATCAATTTCACACATATCTTGATAAAACACCGAATTCCAGAGTTTATAAATAGTGTTTACCTTTGATCCGACCCACTGACTACCAAGATGAAGAAGCCCTTCTAGAAGAATCCAGCCAGCTTCTCTCCTAGGAGAATCTGAGATATCAAAATCTTCGAGCCCGACTTGGATGATATCTTCCTCGTCATCTTCAGTTTGAAAATTACCCAAAATCATGGCTTTAGCAGCATTAAAACTTGAATTAGAGAGGGTCACAGGGACTCCTTTAAGGCTGTGGTTGACTGAAGAGAAGACTAAGGCGAGTGCATGGGCCAAGCAATTGACCTGGTTCAAGCACTGCATTGCCTTCTGGATATCACTCTTTTGGTAATTCTCACTCACTTGGGGAACTAACTTGATTGCATACACTGGAGTGAATGACAATCCAGCCAACTCAGCATGAGTAATTGAAGTATGCGAGATGAGTGTTGAGATCAGAGGATGTACCCACTCTGGAGTGTTCTGAGACACTGTTTTGAAAATCTCGCAAATTGGCACCTGAATTTGAAGCCTGCCACACTTTATAAAAGGCATCAAAGTATCTGTGAACTCCTGATCACTCTTGAAAATAGTTGTTAGATCAAGACTTCTACAGAGATGATTGAAAACACTCAACAGAATGGAAAGACTTGCTTCAGAATGTTTCTTATTTGATAGATAAGATGATACAACATCAATAAGCTCTTTTTGCTCTTCTTGGTCCAGCTCTTCAACAACCTGGAAAAGCAGCCAGGTGATAAACCTATTGCTAACAATAAGCTCATATTTTTCAACTGGATACTTTCCAGTCTTGTCATTTGGTTCTAATAGGAGGATCCTATCCATCAAAGTCTTTTTCTTTGTTTTTGCGAACAGCAATGGGATCTCCTTCATAATGAAATATACTCATTCAACGACTCATTTTCTTTCATAATTATTTGACGTTGACTTATCATAAATATTGCTGGCAAGATAGTCAAGGACTTCTATCAGGTTACTTGGTAAGGACTCTATTAGCTTCTTCTTACTCGAAGGCATCTTCTGATCTAGAATCTCTTTCTCCTCAAGACAAAATTTGATCTTAATTCATAATATTTCCTTCATAAGTTCAGTACTTATTGCTCGTACTTTCTTATAAGAATCTTTGAAGCCTTTAAATGCAGCAGAGATGATGTTTTGGAAATCGCTAGCTTTCATATCTTGAATTCAACTAGTACCTCTGACAAGATAAAGCAATGCCTTTGTTGCAGCATATCTGACGTCTTTCACCTTATCACCAATAGCCTTCGAGATTAACTTGAAGCTATCATTTAAAGCCATGTCTAAATTATTACACTGAGTCTGTAGGACATCACTCAGAGTATCAAGAGCTGTCTCCTTCACATACCACTCCTGAGAATTTTTAAACAACTTTTGCAAACTTTGAACAGTCTCCTGAGTTGGTGGAGAAATAGTCTTCTGCCAAAACTCCTTAAATATCCTCCCAGTCAGTTTTGCTGCTCAAACTTTACTATAAACAGACTTTGATCTCTCATAGATACCTCTAAGCTTCTCAAGCGTCGCCGGCACAGTAGAGAAATCCCCATGCTTATAAAACCTGGTCAAAATGGACATAATCTCATTCACCAACGAAACCCCACACCCAATCTCACACAACTCAACCAACATCGGTTCAATAACCTTCTGCTTCCCTGCCACATCCTTCCTATCCTTGCACTGCTGAATTTCCAATAAAACACTATACAAATAATCCTTCTTCTTGACAAGGGAAAGTTTGGCCTCCCCTCTTTCATTTCCTGCCTTTGCTGCTTCTATATGTTTCTGGATACTCATAATAATGACTTCTAGTTCAGTTGACATTTTTAAAAATCAATTATTGTTTTAGGATGAGGGGTTTTGGGGTTTTGGGGTTTTGGGG